AGTGCATATGACAAGGAGCGGTATATGAGAGAGAGCACCTATCAGTTCCTCTAATATAAGCATCACTATCACTTTGGGCACCGAATATATTCTGAATAACTTAGAGTAATGTTTAAATGATTTAAAACGGGAACACGACTTCGAAAGAGGTCCTGTCACGGATGTCAGAAGGAGAGATCACTTGTCACGTTTCATAATCGTATCACAACTTTTCATCGTAGTATTGTATTTATGCCGGACGTTTGATTCTTTTAGGAAGTTCTCTCTTTGGCAAAGCTATCAAAGTCTTCCAGTTCTTACACTTTCGAAACCCCCTTAAATTAAATGAAGTCTAAAAAACCTAACATCAACTGGTTGAAACGCGGGCCTTAGCTCCCTGTCAAATTATTCGTATTCCTTGTTTTGTGTTGAGGAAATTGCCCTTTTTATCTATGTGACACTTTTTCACACCGTTTTTCTATAAATCAATATAGCATTGTTTTGGTAAGATTATGTATTTATCACTAAACGAATCTTAATCAAGGATTCGTGTTACTTAAGTACGTTTTCGTGCTGCTGTAATTATATCCTGGTAGATTTAAAGGTATCATTCATCCCGATTTCTTCCCAGAATTGCGTCATTCACTCGTTATTATCTGATAGTCGTATGACGTGATTCTAAACATTCTCTCTGTCTCTTTTCAGACTTATTCAAATAACTTCGGTATGATACAACCTTTTTCCTCTGATAGTAGTTAATGAAACGAGTAATATGCCACGAAAATGGTTTTTAATTTTTCGGTCAATGATAGAAGAATTTCATGTTAACTGATAGAATTAATGAACAAATAGAATAAAAAGCTAATGAACTTGTTTTCTTTTCTAGTTTGATGCAACGTAAAATCTCTCCAAGCAGCAGCTTCCCATACAGGAAAAGAAACCATAAAAATAGTTATTAACCAAACAGATTTCTAACAATAAAGTTTTGCGCCGTTAATAGTCTAGTTCCCTTAAAATAGAACAATTTTATTTGCTGATCCTATCAAATCAATTTCCAAACAGAGTCCTACGAATTTCTTAAAAAAGACAATTCAAATTTCAGTCAGTGGATCAGTCAAAGAAATTCTCACCCATCATCGGAAACTGTAATAAAAAAAGGATGAAACTTTGATCGGATACAGACGCTCAGGAAGAAAAGTGATAGTTTCCCAATTTTAAACATTTACTTTAGCACCAAAGTAGGAACACTCAATCGTATATAAGAGGGAAGAAAAACATTTCTCGGCATCAAAATCAACTTCAGAGAAGAAAAGAAACAAGTTGTGAAGACTCTTCACAGAAGCCACAAGAAATACTAAGAAATTGATGGAGTTTTACAAGGTAAAACAATGTATCATGGTTATCATAAAACGTGTTTCTGGGAATTCCTTCATTCATTCAATGTTATTCCTCAATTAGGTATTTTTGATATGGTTTACCGGGAAACACGGCGGACTTTTCTGAATTTTGTGGTTAAATAGTTTAGAAATCTTTTATAAAAGTATAAAAAACAGGGTTTTTTCAGATCTCTAAAATCTCTTTTAGGTTGCAGTTTAACCATGGATATCATTACAATATTTATAGCTTAGAGCGCAAAACTAGAAAATGCTGATTGCCTGAGACAAAGGGCATTATTCCTTAACTTTGTCACTTGCCCTGGGAAACTGAAAAAATTTAGAAATCATTATGATTTCACTGATGGCGAATGTTTTCCAGCAGGGCTACTTTCATCGCTTTGCCGTTGTTGTACAAAAATATAATTTTAGTCAGCTGACTCCTGCGTTTTACAGTCCTTTGACTCTAATTGAACGCTAAACAAGCTTCCTAGAGCGTGCGTTGATCTTCTTTACAAAAGAAAAATTTGCCCTTTATATTATAAACAAGCAATGGCTCGTTTCCTCGTAAAAGGGAGGGATTAACATCACTTGTGTTTTCAGAAGTTGCAGAAATTGCCCACGTCGCTGCGCGACTCGAGCAATTTCTGGAACTTATGAAACGCGCGTGAAATATTAATCCTAAATCTTACTCGGCCCCATGCAATTGGCTATAAATATGGTTGAAAATAAATTGACAATGGATCCTGTATTATAGGTTCTCGTCGTTTTCTTCGCAATTTATCTTCACTATGGAAATTGCCGGGCAGCTGCTTTAACCAAAATCATGCATAGAATCC